TGGAAATGCGTTCCTAGACCCGCAGGTCGTTGTCATTTTTTGAAACAGTGCTGCTGCTCCTTTTCTTGATATTTTATCATTAAATTGTAATGTAGTAACTTCCACAGTGCCGGCAACAGCTTCAGCCATTCGTGACTGATTCTGCATATCGACGATTTGATTGGCAGTCTTAGTGTGTCTAAATTGTTGAATTATGATATGCCTCCGGTCATACGCTAATCCATGCACTTGTTAAATAATTACAAGATGCTTCGTCCTTGGCTGCGCTGACAACTCCTGATGACATTGGTAATGTTGAAGGATTTTCAAAAATTTATCTGGCAGCTGAGTTTCACTGTTCACTGAGAGGTGCGTCGCTGAGAGCAGTGCTTGAAGTTCTGACCGAATGATTTTCTGGTCCATCGCTTTCGTAAGAGAAATTGTATGACGGAAAGTACATCGCTTTCACACGCAGACACTTAACTGGTAAAGTAACCAGTTCTGAGTCTGGTTAGCCGTCCGTTCCAGGGTTCATGACAGACCTTCAAGGCAAGAGTATCGGCTGAAGTGAATGCCCTCACTCGTATATCGCCCTGGCAGGCATTTCCTTACGTTCGTTCTCCACGACTCGGATGAGAGGTTGGATTTTAAGGCGACTGTCTGTCACTGCCGAAGTAAAATTATAGCGGCCACTTTTCATGCGAACAACGAAATGACTTCAAGTAGATTGAGTCAACGGCGCGATTCTCGCTGCTGGCTCACGTCACTGTTTCGGCAAAGCGTATCACGTAGTCTGTAGCATCTTGGAAAACGTAGACCACCTTAACGACAATGATGAGGAGGTAAATATTGTTTCATGGTTTTGCTCATATAGTAAACGGAATATGGCCAGGAATTTTAATATTTAACATAATTTCATTCATTTCCTTTGAAGGGTCTGCAATTCTGGAAACAGATGCATCAACAGGCGCTTCCAAGGTCTTGTTGAAATAATTCTAGCATAAGCCATTACCAGTTATTTTTGTTTATTGTGCAGAAGTTCTGGCGATTGTGAAGAAGTCACGATAATGGATGATGGTGCAAATTTTATAATTTTCTTAAAGTGATTTGATTATCACTGTTGAAGAACGTTTCATTTTACAACGATGAAAGGTCAGTCTGCTGTACTCTTGCAATTTAAGAGTTCACGCAAGCAACAACGTCCTGATTCGCCCATATTTTCTCGCATGAAAGGTAGATTCATCATGCATTGCTTATGTTTACGCATAATCGATCCTATTTTGCGCATATGGCTGACGGAAGCGGAGCATGCAATGGATGTCTGTGAGAAAACAGACAAAATAGTAGCTGTTCTTGATTAGAGGTTTTTAATGGATAAAGGCACAGGTTTTCAAAGAAAGTGTATAAATAATAATTTATTGAACAAATTTTGTTTTTTAATGATTCGGTACGGGGAAAACGCGATTTGTTGATTACTAAGCAAGACTGACAGCCTCCGGTAAAAAGACGGCAACATATCGAAACAAGGACAAGTTGAGATAGTGTATCAGACAAACTGCTCGTTTGCATAGATTGGCATTGAACAAACGGGAAGTAAGCAGAGGAAAGGGATAGTGAACATGTGACTTGTCTCTACGGGCAGAAGAGAATCACTCTACCGCAGCTTACCGAAGAACCACATCATACACTGGCGAAAAAGAAAGATGTTGGAAGCAGTCAGGATAGAACGGATAACAGCAAGATGAACAGGCCGG